TGATTTACTATTTATACTAGATAGTTATCCGCGTTATATGCGGGACAATGTGATACGCTAGTAAAATAAATATAGTTTTAGTTTTAAAAATCATCTATAGTTATTAGAAAAATTATTATACGAAATCTAAAATTCGTTTATATATATGAATTTTACAATTATTTTGTATAGAAACGTATCCCACCCGTGAAATAATTGAAAATAACAAATTTTTAGTTCTTAATCAATATATATATCACTTATTAATAAAATATATTTATTTAATATCATAATCTTCAAAAATATGGTTTATGACTTAAATATACAAAATAAAAGATTGCAAATATATATGAATTAAATTTTATAATTTTAAGGTAAATTATAAGAGTAAGTGAATATTTATAGTAAATTTTTTTATTTTCGTTTTTAAAAAACAAAAAAAAATTCTAATGATATTTGGTTGGAAAGATTGTGTGATAGTGTAGTGTTTGGATAATAGGATAGTAGAGAATTAATATGATTGAGGAGTGTTTGGGTAGTAGTATAGTAGATAATTAATAATAGGATTTAATTTTTAATTAACAACTTCAAAAAATTGAGAATTTGATACCTAAACAAACTAATCTAAAAATGCTTCTTTTTTAATATATAAAGGATAATTGATTTATTTATAACCCTTTTCCAGGGTGTTCTTGAGTTGGTCGAATAAGTCATATATCAACACTCCAAAGATTTTGGAATCCAACCAAAACGGCAAAACAAACATGAACACTTATGCGCTTAACACGGGCCATAATCTAAGGAAATATGTTTCACATGTGACATTAAATTTTCCGTTAATTTTGGTGAAGTTTCCATAAATCTTTACTTGGGTATAAATCTCGAAAGTGATCAATAGATGAACGAATTCACAACTTCTATATAATCGACATGGAATAGTAAGGTGAAAATTTTTATGTAAAAAGAATTTGGATGACCCATATATACATCGCATTCAAATCCCGTTGACATGCTTGCAATATACATAGTTTAAGAAGTCAATTAAGATCAGAAAACACTAGTTGAGTTTGATTAGTGATTATATTTGATTATTTGTAT